AGAAAAGCACGTCTGCAATACTTCAAAACTGGGGATTTCGTGCTTAAAAAAGTTTTTCAATCTACAAAGGCGGCCAACGCGGGTATACTAAGTCCTACCTGGGAAGGACCCTACAGAGTTCGAGATATTGTAGGAAAAGGAGCATACGAGTTGGAAACAATGGACGGGAAGGTGCTTCCTTCGCATTGGAATGCAATTCATTTGAAGAGATTATTTCTAAGGAAAAACCCACGGTCAGGTATCACCATGTTAAATTATATTTGTTTTTGAATTGTTAAAATTTTATTAATGATTTTAGATGATAGGCAAAATGCTAACCCGTACTAAATGATGAGTCACGACCTGTAAGGCGAACTGGAATAAACTAAAATTCCTGGCCCAGGGTTACAATTATTCTGATAGAAATTTAAACGGGTTAAGCAGTCTTCATCTATAATCGTACTTCCGAGTCCCGTATGTATTTCCTTTTCAGGAAAAGGACCGAATGAGGGAAGCTATCAAGTGCTCGAGGCTTCATACTTCAACACTCAAACACTTGGGGGACTACATAATATACACAAGTATATATAAAGACGGCAGAGAAGATTGAAGAAAAATCAAGCCTGGGAAAAAGTCAAGTGCAGAGTAATAAAAGTCAAATGAAGTCATGAGGCAAGGCTAAAGAAATCCTAACTGTAATTAGGGTAAAAGCTGTGTACTAAAGCAGGTTGTAAGGAAAAACCTTGCATTTATTGTTCTAAAACGGGTTATAAAGAAAAACCTCGTGTTTATTATTTTTTAAAAAAATATCTGTTACAAGAAAAAACAGTTACGAGAAAGTTATAGATGTAATTCAAGCACATGTAAAGTATTATTCAAAACTTGTCAAAGTTCAGAAATAAAAATTTCTCGAAGTTATTGCAAAAAACATGTGTGTTCCTATTTCTTTTATCGTATGATCACACCATTATGAAGTTGAGACGTCTTCTTCATTAAGTGTCAAAATATAAAAGGGCCCTCTTTTATAAAACTCATGTTATTTAGTCATGGGATTAACAGAAGCATTTTTCAAAGAACAAAAATGATGACTATTCTTTAAGTCCTTAAAAATAAAAAGGCAAGGATAGAACATATGGAAGTGCAATGATAAATAAAAGCTTCCTAATATTTAAAACTAAAGACTAAGTATAAACTTAGTCATCGAATTGTTTATACAAAATGCCCCATAACAAGACTTGGGGACTTGTACTTCTAAAAATCAACCCTCAAGTGATAGCCAAGGGCTTGATTACAAAAACTCTCAAATGAACCCAAGAGCTTTAAATACTGTTTTCCAAATAGGTACCTGCAAAAAGAGGAATTCAAAAACAGATATAATTTTTTTTTTCACTAAGAGGAAAGGATTGAAGAAGGATCATCAGCGGGCTCAACTGGAACAGCATCGCCAACAGAAGTGGGTTGATTTCCAACCATTGGAGTATCAATAGATGAAGTTTCAACTTGACTTGCAATAAGGGGCACGATTGAGCTTGAAGAGGGTGCATCACCCGAGGCAATTCCAGCGGTCATGGGGACTTCAACCGCAGAAGTTTCAGTTAAGGGAGCCTCACTCACCGGAACTTCACCCACGGGAACATCAACTCCGGTAGCTTCAGCTTCGGAAACTTCAATCATGGGAGAAGGGAAGTCCAATGGTTGTTGAGCTTTTTCAATAGTCTCCATCACCTTAGCTAACTCTGACTCCAGATTAAAGTTTTCTTGGCTGGCTTCAACTAAGGCATCACGATGGGAGTTCAGAAAGCCCAGCTTACATCAACTGCAGCCTTATTTTCAAGAAGCTCATAATCTCTTTCCCAAGCAGCAATTTCATTTTTGAGACCTTCATTTTCATTCAGAGCTGAGTTATAAGAGGCTTGGAGAGAGGCATGAGATTTTTCTAAGGCCTTCACCTGGTCTTCAGAAGTTCGCAGATTTTCTTGGGTCCGAGTCAAATTCTGCATCAAATCTCCAGCATAAACTTCTTTTTGACTTAAAAGAGCTCTCAGCTCTCTAATCTCTTCACTTGATTTAGATAATTGTTCTGAGAAAGAAGACTCGAGACGCTCTCTTTCTATCTCAGCCTGACTTGAAGAAGCCTTGACAACCGCAAGCTCTGAAGTTAATGCTCTCACCTACTGTTCCAGGTTATTCTTACTCTCTTGTAAATCTTCTATTGTTATTTGAGCACTATCAAATTGATCCTTCCAATTAGCTGCTTCCAACTGAAAGTCACGAGCTTCCCTCTTTGAATCAAGAACAGCCTTTTCAGAGTCACGTGCCACCTTCTCTAATAAAGAAATTCTGCTCATCAGCTCTGTACCAATAAGGTTGGCCTGAAAATGATAAGGAAAGAAAAATTAGAATTCTAGAAAAATTCTGGCAAAATTAAAGAAAGAAGGGGCATACCTTCAAGGTGGAATGAACTATGTCGTTCATCAGAGTCAGGCAGCTATGGCTATTCATTTTTTCTTTCTCAATTGGGCCTATTAAAGGTTCAAGCCAAACATCCGCCTGACCGGATTTCCTAAAAAGGCTGTTGTCAGCAGGCACTTCGATAGTCACGCTCCTCATAGCAATCCTTTTGCTTGTAGAACCCGCTTCTACATTGTGGACAGTAGAAGGAGGAGCGGTAGAAGAAGTAAAAACAGCAACGGGAGGTGCGGAAGAAGTTGGAGCAGATAAGGAAGGAACCAAAGGCACGACAGAAGAAGGAAGGGAAGGAACTGAAGATATAGGAGTTGAAGAAGAAGATAGGGGAGGTTCATCCAAAACGGGTCCTAACTCGCCACTCTCAAAACCACTAATGAAAAGCTGGTTAATCGACTCATGAGTATCATGAGGGGTAGCAACATAATCATCAGAGACGAGATTAACAGGCCCGGTAGGAAAAAGATGATGAGAAACTTCAGCTTCATCAGAGACGATACGTCTCCGAACTCTTGGCCTTTTCACCAAGGAACCATCCTCCTCTTCTTCGTCGGAGCTATCATCGTCTGTGGTTTTTCTTTTCAGAAGAATATCCTGAGCACTTTCTAAAGAAAGTTGGATTCCTAAACGAGAAGCTGCAACTGCTTCAGCAGTAACACCTCGAATAGCAAAACCTGACAAAGAGAAAATTGAAAGTTAAGGCAATAAAGAGAAAAATCTTACATACGAGAAAGACAAAAACTCATACCGTGAGTCTTTACTTTCCAACCATGACGATTGGAAATAAATTTCCAAGACCTAGCCTCCATAGGAGCGATCTTCAACAATTTATCTACCCAACCACGAAAATTGGGAATGTTCTCCACAACTCCCATGGTTGCTAAAAAAAAGAGAGAGAGAAACAAAGTTAAAGAAACTTGTAAATTCGAAAGAAAAAGGTACAGGAGAGATGGGAGACTTACGTGCAAAGTTCCACTTCTCAGGGAAGGGAACGTTTTGTTCACCCACTAAACCAACTGTGGGAGCAGCAACAAATCGAGCATACCAGCCACGATCCTTATCATCTTCTGGGCTTACCAAAACCCTCTTACTCCTAGCCACTAAGGTAAAGACGTCATTACGAAAAAGTCTAAGGGAGTATAGATGAATTAGGTGGGAGAAGGTGAAATCAACGTTTGCCAAATTGGCCAGATGCCTTAAACAAGCAACAACCCTCCATACAAGCGGGCCAACCTATGCTAAACAAACTTTGAAGAAACGACAGAAATCGAGAATTACTGGGTCGATAGCTGGTTTAAACCCAAGAGTAAAAGGGTATGTGTAAACGAAAGAGAATCCAGTCATATATGAAGTAATCCTCTGATTTGGATTGAGGATTACAATGGGAAAATCGTTACTCCAGTGACAATCTTTGCAAACTATGGGAGCTAAAATCTCTGTAATCATAGTGGGGTAAGCATCAACACGATCCAAACCAGAAATTTGGGTCTGAAGTGATTGCCTATCATGCTGAAAAGATAAATCGTTAGGGACTATTTCTTCTACCAAGGGTTCCTGTAATGGTTCAGAGGCCTCATTGTTCTTAGAAGATGATTTTTGAATAAAAGAACCTCTAGTTCTAGAGGAAGAACCAGGGCTAGGAGAAGGCATGGCAGAACCACCACCACGAGAGGATCCTAAGCTACGAAGTCTCCCACCTCTTTTATGTCTAACAGGGGCATTGGAAAAATTGTCTAAAATAGGAACTCTCTTAGGGTTAGGGTTCGAAGAATACGTGATGAAGAAGAAAAAGAAGTAAACAGAGATTCACGCAATTCAAGTGTTCAAGGAAAAAGTTTTATGTGGTAAAAGGTGAAAGGAAAAATTAAATTTATACTGATGGGCGACCGTCAAAAGTAAAAACGCAGTAATGGAAGGATCACAATAATGGTAACTGATACTTCATGAACAGTGGAGCCGAAAAGACAGCCTGAAAAAGTGTTGTAAACTGTGGAACCAATAAGAAGATGACACGTGTCTAAAACATTAAATGGAAGTGATAATTAAAGCGTCAACTCTGTCAGAACATTAATGGTGACAAAAATTCTCCTTTAATGAATTCCACTTCCCAAATATTCAAACTGACGAATAAATGGAAAGTGGGGGGGACTATCTGTATTGGGGAAAATTGTATTTATATATATGGTGACGTGTCATGGCACATAGACTGATCAAGCAGTCAAAGAATTAAGGTTGGTTAACAGACACGAGCAACAATAGATACGAGCAAGTTAAATGAAGAAGGCACGAGCAGTCATACAAATAATTCAACGTTCGTACCTATTCAAGACATTCAAAGGTCAAAGATCGAGAAGAGACAAAGGAATGAATCTGACAGCAAAAAAGAGCCCAGATACAGCATTTAATGAGTATTAAATACTAGAAACGTTAGAGAATATGTATTTAATGTATATGATTGCATAACGTAACATTTAAGGTCATTAAATTATCCATAATTGTCTTATTATGACAAAGGGAAAGTCTGTATTCCAAAAACAGCTATAAAAGGAAAAGTCACAAACAACTGTAGGGGGACAAAAAAAAAATACTATTGGAATATACTTTGTTTTATTTGCTTTTTGATTATATTATTCAAAATCTCTTTCTTATATACTTCTCCGATTATCAGTAACCCGAGTTCTTCTAAATTCAAGCTTTGACCTAAAATTTAATTTTTGGTTAAACATTTCCATACTCAAAAGTCAGCAAATTAAGGAACATCCATTTCCTTCAAAGCCCCTCGAAATCTCCTACAGTAAAGTAAATCGTTTTCATTATAATTCAAACTCTTTTCTGTAGTTATAGTTTCTTGATGGAGTATGTTACCAATGTGAATTGCATTTACTGTTGAAAATTGGGCATTTGAGTCTATGGATATAGTAGGAAAGATTGACCAAATTTAAAACTCTTAAATAATCTAATTATAACAAGTTCATTAAGTATTTTATTTACCTCTTATTCCAAATTTTCATCAGCTTGGTCTTATCTAAGGGGGAAGTGCACAGTTAGCCAGTAATTACTGTTTAAAATGTATTTACTCTTTATCCAGTGCTTAATAAATTTTTACCCGTTCGGACGAAAATACCCCTGTGCTAGACATGAGTGCTGTGTAAATATTAAGGACGTGGTGTCCTTAACTTCATGAATGTTGTGTAAATATTAAGGACAACGTGTCCTGTATTTGCACCTTCCGTTGTTAAACTTTAGGACATCATGTCCTTAACTTCATATGTGCAGCGTAAATGTTAAGGACATGGCGTCCTTAACTTTATGTGTGTAGTGCAAATGTTAAGGACATAATGTCCTTAACTTGTATTTGCACCTTCTGTTGTTAAACTTTAGGACCTCATGTCCTTAACTCCATATGTGCAGTATAAATATTAAGGACATAATGTTTTTAACTTTATGAGTGTTGTGTAAATATTAAGAACATGAGTGTACTTAACTTTAGCCTATTTACCCAATGCTACGATTCCTTTAGCCTATTTACCCAAAAAGAGTACGAACTCTATGTTAAACCAGTGTTTTAAAAGGCGTGGGCGTAAGACGAGGCATTTTACATGAAGGCACGGGGCGTAAGTCCCATGTGTATTTAATTTTTAATATTTTATATAATATAATTACAGTAAAAATTTATAAATAGGTAAAATTGCATAAAAATTGAAGAAAACTATAAATATTTGAAAAATACATACATATATATATATATATATATATATATATATATATATATATATATATATATATATATATATATATCTACGAACGTACGTTGCACGTTAATAATGACACGTGATGGTTTAACCATTTAAATGATCATCTGAAAGCTGAAAAATATACATACATATATATATATACTAGTATCTACGAACGTGCGTTGCACGTTAATAATGACACGTGATGGTTTAACCATTTAAATGATCATCTGAAAGCTGAAAAATATTATTACATTAGCATGATATGTGAATTCAAAATAAAAGGACATTATCAGAACTTACACAAATGATCAATTTAGTCATGTTAGTTAGATAATTACATATTATAATTTAAAAGTATTTAATTTGATGGTATCTTACCGAACACTTCTTTGTAGATGATTTTTTTGTGTGTATGTTTCCTTCTAATGCTTTGGTTGCTCTGTCATAACCAGAACTCTTGTTGTCGATATT